TTTCTTGATATCCTTTAAAAACAAGATCCATTATTTTCCATAATTTCATCTATTTTAGACACTATGGAATTCCTTTTTGACCATAGGCCTCAGATTCGCTTTGCTGACTTAAGCAAGTTGCCATGATAAAAGTCCAAGATGGTCATCAGTCCTCCTGTTTTCACTCTTTAATGCTCTTCTTTTTTAAAAAAAGATTTATGTATTTATTTTAGAGAGAGAGAGGGAGGGAAAGAGAGAGAGCAAGTGGGGGCAGGGTCAGAGGGCAAAAATCTCAAGCAGACTCCCCATTGAGCACGAAGTCTCACCCAGGGTTCCATCCCAGGATTCATGAGATCATGACCTGAGCTGAAACCAAGTGTCAGACATTCAACTGACTGAGCCACCCAGGTGCCCCACTTTAACTTTCTTCTTTAGTTTGTCCTTTTTCTCCAGCTTCAGAGGATGTGAGATGCTGATCACAAGATGTAGAAAAATAGTCCTCCATCTTGTGCATTATGACATCATTCTAGACTTCCTCCCAAGATCAGATAGTTTCAGGTCAGTACCATAGACTGCCCCATCTACTGCACAGATAGCAAATCAAGAAAGGAACAGGATTCCCCACACAACTCAGGGAGCTCTCAGACTCCATGTGGACTCCAGAATTTTTGGCTGAATTCTAAGAAGTTATGAATTTCACTAAACAGTTCTTATTTGTCACACCGAATAAGTGAGCCAGTTTCCATCCATTTAATTTAAGGTGGTTTTGACATGAGTTCAGGGAGTTACTGGAGGTTAGATAGGAGGGTAGTGAACACTGATCTCTTTGAAAGAACATTTGAGAATTCCTCTCCAAATATCAGCACTCATAAGAAGGCCACTCGAAGACATTATATGCTTACCAACCAACCTCCTCATGCCCGGCCAGACATGATGAGATGCAGCCATCTTTCTTGAGGCATGTGATCTGTTAGCAGAAGAAAGAGAAGAAAGGGATGCTTGCCATGTTGCCAGAGCTGTACTGAGGGGCACCGGACTGTCTTTGGGCAACTCACTGAGCTGCAGCAGGACTGAGTGTTCCTTGAAATGGTGCAATTTGAGCTCATCTTCAGGAGCTCTTTGGGGAGTGGGTAGAAAGGAAAAGGGATCAAACTACCAAGAGGCATGAGTAGGTTTGGCCTGGGCAAAACACCTCACGATGGGCCCTGGGGGCTGAACACAGGGAATACTGAATCTCTGCATTAGAGATCGCAGAAGCCAGACACTCAGAACGACCCATGGGAACAAGTACAAGAATTCCAGGGGGCAGCCATTATTGAGTACACTGACATAAGCTCCTTCAACTCTCTCAAATTTGGGTGCATTATTTGCAACATGGAAGCAAACCAATGTCTACCCTTGAGTGTAACTACTGGGTTCGAGTGGAAATTCTTTGAGTGGAGATTCTTTGGAAAGGTGAACGACTCTGTGCTGGTGGACGATGATGGTGGCCAAGTGGTGGTGAGCGATTACAGAACCACAGGGTTTTGTGCTGACAATAATCCAGAGCTGGTCTAACCTGTCCACATTTTACCAGTAAGCCAGACCTGAAGTGACTCAGCCAAGCTAGTTAATGGCACAGCAGGAACCAGGTCCCCAGGGTCTTGGGTTGAAGAAAATAAAAAATCTCAAGTCCAAATCAGCTTCCCGGCGACATGGGTTTCCCATCTGGCTTCAGTTCAGTCCGGTGAGTTTAGCACAGAGCAGGGGCCTGATCCCTGGAGGGCCCCACCCCACCCCTTGGCAGGTCCGATGCTCGAAGCAGCCTCTCTGAGTCCCCGTGTCATACTTGGGATGGCATTCCATCTCACAGATATTGAAACCAGGGTGTGAGGGCAAGTTGCCAGGTGGCACACTGCAAAACAAATGCCTCGTTGTGTTTGCGGCCGCACCGTATGTGGCTTTGTGAAGTCCAAAAGCCATCCAGTCACTGTGACTGGAATGTGACAGTAATTTGTAACAACGGTGACTCTATTCCCCCCGCCCCCTTGGTCTACTTTTGTGACATGTTCCAAAATCCTGAGAAAGGCCTGCAAAAGAAATGTTCAGAAATGTTCTAAATGGGTTTGGAAAACTTGTGAACCCTGTCTGAACTTTTATTAGGTTCTCCCACCACTCACCCGTTTGACATCAGAACAAGGAAAGCATTATTTATAACAGCGTGTGTGAAATCCCAGAAGGGACTCTTGAAAGAATTAACATGAAAAATGTGTCCCAAAGAGACTGCAAGCATAAAACAAATGATCAGATGGGAAAACATGTAAATCAAAAAGTGGGATATTTTTTTCCTCCTTTAAAGGAGCTTTTTCTCTGGCCATTTCCAACATCGGACAGAGAAACTGGGCGAATCCGGGCTATCATCAGAGCACCTTTCCCTGCAGAGAGAGGCACAGAGGGGAATTGTGTGCACTGGCTCTTCCTAATGTCTCCAGAATGGAGGAGATAAGATAGTAAAGGTTACAGGGAAGGAAAAGACACCTTGAATGCATCAGTGCATTGGAATTTACAAAGCACTTTCCCAAACTTTTGACTGTTTGAGTGCTCACCTCACCATAACCCCGGGAGGTATAAAATGTTACCCATATTTCATAGTTGGAGCAACTAGGACACAGAGCGGTTTAGCAACTAGTCCTTGACTAAAAGTCCTGGAGCCCGGCTTCCAACATCACGAACTAAGTGTTGCCTGTGGTGTTACCGGTGTGTGTGCACGGGAATATGGAAAGCATGGCATCTTGTTAGGTTAGCACATCCCACAGTGGGATTTTAGCCGTCTGATTCTAGATGTATGGAAGCGATTTTCTGTCTCTCTCCCTCTCCCCACAAACACACATGCAAATTAGTTAATTCACTAAGTTAAACAAAATCAAATCTGTTTTTTTCCGCCAAACTCCCAAGATACCTTAAGACTCTGTGTATCATGACTGTCACAGAAGTGAGGCAACTTACAGGTTATAGGGTTTTTGGTGGCCTGATCTAGAAACCTCTGTGGGGAGCTGGCTCTTAATCTTTTGAGGGCCCAGTATCCAAAAGACTACCATGTGTTTATCCATAAGTTCCTAGTTCTCTTTTTATCCCACACAGACCAACTATATATTGATCATAAATCTGGATTCTAATTGAAATATTCCCATAAAGTCAATAAGTATGTCTTTTCCGCTAAAAACCTGCACAGAGACCTCTCACTCCACAGGACTCTGCACTGTGTAGCTCCCCGCACTCAGGACAAGTCTTCTCCTTGGTGCAGGTCTGTGGGTCACCAGCACCTGAAAGGAGCTTTCCTCCTTGGTGTCCTGAGTCCTTGGCAGTGTCTAGAAACATGGGGAACCCCTTGTGTATTGGCACACATTTCCTTTCCCAAAGTTCTGGGTCTGTGGGGCTCCAGGGTCATGAGCCGGGCAGTTCCTCAGTGGGGCCAGCAGCACCAATATGGCGTCCTTTCCGGTCCATCGCTGCCTATGCCACACAGGTTCTGTTTTGAATATCATCCCTGATGGGAAGTATTGACATCACCTTCAGGCATGTCCAGGCAGCTCCATGAAGGAAATCTGTGCCCATGGAAGCCTGTCGGCCCATCTCTGTATGGTGAGAAGTGAGTGATGAAATTGAAAGCTGATGGAAGGCCACCCACCTCTACTTAGTGTCAGAGCTGTGGGTGTGTTCAAAGTGAACAGTAAACATATGAGGGCACCTTACCCCGACCCAGGAATTTGTGTCCCTACTTGTCAGATTTAGAGTCCTTGTACAGAGAATGGAGAAAAAACCCACAGAACGTTCTCCTCCTTTGACACTCAAGATCTCTTTGATGCTAAGAGGGTTGTTGGAAATTGCCAAGCATATTAAACAGACCTGACACTCTCAGCTCCTTGGGCTCAGGAGTTAGGGAGCATTTTTCAGGCACTGTTCATCTCTTTCTTTCCTTTAATGAGACAGAAAATGGACACCGACCATTGTAATCGGGCAGAAACTCGATGTGGCATCTGTCCGAGAACACGGGGCTGACCGTCGGGTCTCACGCCTGTGTTTCTGTGTGCTCACCTGCTGCCCGGGCATCAGGCAGCATGTTTGAACTGGTAGTGCTGCGTTTTCTAGCCTGAAAACCAGGACCCACCACCAGTTTGCTCATGGTTTTAACATCAGACAGCCCCAGTGGGCTACAAACTGAAACGTGAAATTCTTAACTTTTCTCCAGGGAGTCAGAAATCCTAAACAAACTGTCCTTATCAAATGAAGTACCCTATGCCTGTGGTAATGCTCTCGCCATCTAATGCCTCAGCTGTGCTGTTTTCACTAAAATGGACTTTCCCCAAACTGTATCTATTTATTTTTGGACAAAAGCTCAATTGTAGTTAAGAGACAAGTCCTAAGCTCGGGGTCTAAAGACTTGAATGCTTTATGTCCATAACCACCTAAGTCTCAGTTGCTTCGTTTGTGAAATGGGACTGATCTGACCCTGACCATGGCTGGATTGTGGGAGGGCATTTGAGGCTGCACTGTGCACTCATCCTAAGACCTGAAAGTGGAAGGAAGCTCTGGCCTTGCCAAGAAAGTAGAGTCACTTGGTGGGTCATTCTGGACACAGTTTCCTGCTGTTTCCTGGTCAACGTGATCTTGTTAATTAGAAGACTGAGTCACCTTTATACCAGGAAGCGTGTGTGTGTGTGTGTGTGTGTGTGTGTGTGTGTGTTATCCAGGATGAACACCTGCCCCAACGTCATCTCTGCCCTATCTAGTTACCAGAAAGAGAAAATAGTAAAAAATATTTAAAAAAAAATACTTTGACCATTCTTCACCCTGTTTCTCTGTTGCTTTTTTCTTATAAAGAAATTGTATTTCCCTCATGTTTTATAAATGATTAAAATGAACAAATACAAACAAAAGAAGGACAAAAGTGTCCCCCATTTGTATTCTACCTTTCTCCCACCTGATGAGGGGAACTTGGTTTTCGGGTGACTGATGCCTCCTTTCTCCCCCTTCTCCACCAGGTCGGTGGCCACACAATGCTGCCCATTCGCTGGATGCCTCCAGAGAGCATCATGTACAGGAAGTTCACCACAGAAAGTGATGTCTGGAGCCTGGGCGTCGTGTTGTGGGAGATCTTCACATACGGCAAACAGCCCTGGTACCAGCTGTCCAACAATGAGGTGCGCAGTGGGCTGGGCAAGACCCCTGAGGGCTGAGGTCCAGAGGCTAGGAGACAGAGGAAGCTGTGTGGCTTTGTGGGCAGCAGCAGTTCCTACATGGCCTCTCAGGACCTACACGTCATGGGCAGAGTCTAGTCACTCTCTGAGTTTAAAAGTTCTAGAGAAAGAAAAGCAGTGTTTGCTCACACACCTGGGACTCTGTGCTGCTCATCTGGTAAATTCATAGCAGGTGTGGCACCCCCGTGCCTTCAGAGGTCAGCTAGGTTTTTTGGTAGTATTCCAATAAGGTTTTAGGCTTGGTTTTGTTTTGGTTTGGTTTGGTTTGGTTTGGTTTTTTTACACATTTCACTAGAACATTCTTGTGTTTTATTTCCCTATTTCAATTCTTTTGCAACCGTTGTCTCTACTTGAGGCATAGCTTCTGGGTCAGGCACCTCACATCCTCTTCAGGTCCACATCTGTCTTCTATCCCAACTCCACTCATTTCCACAGCTCAAGCGAGGTCCCCTTGTCAGTAAGCGCCCTGACGTGAAAGTTCCAGGCTCCATCTCAGGCCAGTAAGACTAAAACACATTGGAATTCCTGAGTGAGGTAGCATCCCACAGACAGAAAGCATTTCTCCACCAGGTTGGTGACCTCAGTGTGCCCAGAAAAAGCGATCTAAACCAATGAAATTAACCATGATTAACGAACTACAATAATTTTCTCTTCCTTCAAAAAATAAAAAAGCAAATGCTGAATGGGTTTCTTTAGAGCAGCCTTTCCCTTGCACAGACATCTGTGTTATTGGCTTTGTTTTTCCTCTCGTCTGACGCTGTCTTCGATCTCCATCCTGTCCAGGTGATAGAATGCATCACTCAGGGCCGAGTCTTGCAGCGACCTAGAACGTGCCCCCAGGAGGTCTACGAGTTGATGCTGGGGTGCTGGCAGCGAGAGCCCCATATGAGGAAGAACATCAAGGGCATCCACACCCTCCTTCAGAACTTGGCCAAGGCATCTCCGGTCTACCTGGATATTCTAGGCTAGGGCCCTTTCCCCCAGACCGATCCTTCCCAATGCACCTCCTCAGATGGGCCGAGAGGATGAACGTCGTTTAACTGCCGCTGGATGCCATCAATCTGCTGTTCTTCACTCCGACAGTATTAACAACAAAGACACGGAGAGGCTTTCCGAGGGAAGCCATGTGCACTTCTCCATCCATAGACACAGTATGGACTACTTTTTGGCATTGTCTCTTTCTCTCTTTCCACCTCCCTTGGTTTCTTCCCTGGTTTTTGTTTGTTTTTTTGGGTTTTGGGGTTTGTTTTTGGTTTGTTTTTTTTTTTTTTTTGGTCTTTTTTTTTTTTTCTTTTTTGGTCTTCCTCGCTTCATAGCCCCTACCCTTTCTTTTGAATCAATCTGGCTTCTGCATTCCTATTAACTCTGCATAGACAAAGGCCTTAACAACCCTGATTTGTTATATCAGCAGACACTCTAGTTTGCCCACCACAACTAACAATGCCTTGTTGTATTCCTGCCTTTGATGTGGATGAAAAAAAGGGAAAACAAATATTTGACTTAAACTTTGTCACTTCTGCTGTACAGACATCGAGAGTTTCTATGGATTCACTTCTATTTATTTATTATTATTACTGTTCTTATTGTTTTTGGATGGCCTAAGCCTGTGTATGAAACAGGAAAACTTGTGTTTAATCTGGGAAGCCTTTATCTATGGGAGATTAAAACCAGAGAGAAAGAAGATTTATTACAAACCACAGTATGGGAGGAACAAAGACAACCATTGGGATCAGCTGGCGTCAGTCCCTACTTAGGAAAAACCCAGCGACTGTTAGCTGGGAGGAATGTATTCGGCACCTTCCCCTGAGGAGCTTTCTGAGGAGTACAAAGACTGTTGAACTCTGTGCCATGGACTATTCTTTTCCCATCACCAGAAACACTAGGGTGTAGTCGAGAGAAAAGATGGTTTCCATGAGACACAAGATGGCGCATCACACGCCCAGACAGTCTTGTCTTTGCAGGTCATGGTAATAGCCCTGGTTTGTCTTTCCAGGTGTTGTCGGCTGAACCTTTGTCGAGTTTAGCTGAAAATGGGTGAATTCTTGTCCAGAGATCGTTTCAGGGTCAGGTGGGAAAGCCAAAGACTTGGAAAAGATAAGACAAGTTATAAATTCGGAGGCATTATATTGAACTTTTCAGATAGCAGTTCCCTCCGACCCCTCCCCTCCACCCCACCTGTCCTTTAAACTGTGCAAGCAAAATTGTGCATGGTCTTCGTCGATTAATACCTTGTGTGCAGAAACTACTGCTCCAGACGTCGTGCCCCTGATATGTAGAGCAGATCCATAAAGAGATATAACTTATATAATTAGGGGAAGCTAATGGAGCTCATTAGCTGAGTATCAATGTCTCTGCGTCGTACGACGGTGATGGGTTTTAGCGGAGATGGACCCTGAAGCCTGGATGTCCTCATCCACGTGGAACGGACTGTGGAACTGTGGGAAGGGCAGACTCAGTCCCTGCGGGAAAAGAAACCTCACCCTGGGGGCATCACTTACATTGATGTTCAGTGTGCACAGGCTGAGACCTTGCTCTGGGCTCTGGTTGGGAGAGTGGTTTCATTCCCAGTGTACTCCATTGTCAGTATGCTGTTTTGTTTTTTTTCCACTCCATTAAAAGACGTAAAAATTAAAAAAAAAAAAATTTAGGCATAGCACGCCAAGGGGAAGCTATGCCCAGACCAAGCTTTGGAGGTGTGCTTCTGGGTCTAGTGATGAGTTTTGCGAAAAGAGGTTGTAAATTTAAATAGAAATTTACAGTTATTTGGATGATCGGTTTTACCAAGAAAGAAAAATATTTTTGTTCCTCAAGAAAACTTGCTACCCTCTGTGAGGGGACTTTTGTTAACTTGACATCTTTATAACACAAGCCAGATTGAAAGTGAGTGATTTTAATTCATCTTAGGACATTTTTATTTCGTATTTGTTTCTGAAGGTGCAATTGCTCTGTTTCAGTTTTGCTTGCGCCCTTAATTCCTGGAGCACCTTATTTTCCATTTATAGGCTTTTGAGAGCCCGTTCTCAAAAAATCAAAAGTGTCGATTAACAGACAACAAAAGGAAACCCAGTAGCATCAGCAGTCAAGTGAAGGGGGTTGGACAAGATAATCCCTACAGTCCCTTCAAGTTCCACGCTGGCCTGGGAGACACGGGAGTTGAGCTGATCGTTCTCTTTGTCGGTGAAAAAAACCCTCCAGAATGCACATAACAATATAATGAAAGCCATATCTCCATGGTATATGCCTGCACAAATCTATCGTATTAAGGACCACGGTACTGCTAAAACACTGTGGCATCTGAAAAGCAGTAACGAAGGGGCAGATTTGTACCAAACCTTTCTAAATTCCATCCGTGATGACCTGAACACCTGCACAGGTTTGTCATTCTGCGTGACCTGCCAGCTGCTTGGGGGGGTGGGGCGGAGGGGGGTGGCGGGGGCCGGGGGGGAGAAGCTGCAAGTTATTTGTTTTATTTTAACAGAGAGCAAAGGAGGTAAATATGCGAAGGGATCAAATTCGAGAAGGGCTGCGCAGTTTTAAAGCAAGGATTTGTTTAAGGCAAATGAGAAGATGGGAGCGTTCTATACCATCCCAATGTGTTTTCCTCTGAAAGAAAAAAGCAAAAAAAAAAAAAAAAAAAAAACCAAAAACAAACAGACAAAAAAACTCCTTACCTTCTGACAAGTCCCTCTAGGTCTTGAAATGAAAGATTCTATGCAAGTGCAAAGTTTTATAGTTCTTTATATTGCTGATTATTATTTTTTTCCTCTGTTGTCTCAAGAGTGTGTGATTTCAGAGACGTCTCGCATTGAAAGAATACCAGATTGAATGAACCAGAGAATAGCTTAAAATAGTCATCACTGTTCTTCCACCATCCCCTCTTCTCATGCTCTTTTGATTTTTAGAAAAGGGACATCCTTGTTCTGAAGTGTAACGATCACAGAATATGGCCTGCTACCCAATGCGTGAAAAACTCCAACCGCAGGAAGGACGAACCTAATTCCCTCGCCCAAACTCAGCCTGACCATCGTTTCCATTTACTGATCGCATCATAGTTTTCCAGGCACTTTTCGCCACTGTTAGCCAATCATTCCCGTTTTTTATAAGTGAGGCAATCGAGACTCGGAGAAGTTGAGCGGTATGCTGGAAATCTCCAGGCTCGTTTCCGGCACCAGGGGGATTGACTCTAAGTGTTCTGATTCTGAAGTTCATGATTCTGCCCGCTAGAGACTCCAGGATACACACAAATGGTCCAAGAAAGCAAGCACACTGATAAACTCACGAAGCCAAACGCGGTCCGAAGAACAAAAGGAAATACGTGAGATGACCAGGAGCTGAAACATCGTGACATAGAATCATGCTTATAGCTTCAGCTAAATCCTTGTACACTGAACCAGTGTCATAATCAGGCTTCTTTAGAAAACATTTTGAACTATGCTATAAAAGATCCTATCAGAATTCATATTATACACGTGTGTTCACATCCGCACTACCTGTGGTATTTTCATGTATTTATATGTGTGTTATAAATACTGGATTTATACATATGCAGGCCCACAGACACAGTGTGTTTGTGGGCTTATGTATAAATGTATAGGCACACAATACTAGAGATAATGATAAGTAGGGTGCAGTATGACTAATTTGCTTAAAATCTGCTAAATAACCAAAACTTTTTAATGTCCTTTTGCGGTTAGTGCTTCCATTCTCCATGTGGGTAGGACTACATCGCACTTTTCAACTTTGTGCAGTACTGCATGGGTGGAAGACATATTTAAGATAATGTGCTTCCCAAAACAACTGAATCAAAGCCATCCCACTACACTGAGTCCTTTCCTTGGCTCCTTGCAAAGGAGAATGCAGACTGAAATAGATCTCCTTATGTAAAGGTCCGGGAAAGGAAAATTGATTTTTTTTGGTCATCTTTTTGCACATTTATGTTATGCTCACCTTGTCCCACGGTTACCCCTGTATACTTCTGTTCAGAGTCCAAGCATTCCAGAAGAGAACCGGAATGTCGGGAGCCCAGTGTCTCAAAGGGCAATAGTGAGAAGTCCAAGACCCCACCACAAGACGAGCGACTCCTAGGAATTCCTATAGCTGAGTGGGGATGTGAAGCAACAGTATAAAATGCTGTCCTTTGCAAAGAGCCATGACAAAGGATCCCCTGGTCAGAAACAGATGTTTCTTTTTAACCTTCCCTTTTTGCAAATTGGATCTTCTATAATGCCAATAGTATTAAATTGTTTGTCTAATTAAATAAATGACTCCATACACACACACACCCTCAATTCTCTTGCTCTTTCTCTTTCTCTCTTTCTTTCTCTCTCTTTTTTTTTCTCCCTCCCATTTGAGGATTTTTATTCCCAATGTTGAGCTCGGTTCCGTCCATCACAGAAAATCTCATGAGGGGAATGGCTGGTGACCCAATCCTCATATGGCTAATGGAAGTTAAAGCACTTCCTTCACAGGGCATAATCGTGGAATGTAGAGACTCCCAGGTCATGATAGCAAATGTTATTCTAAAGAATCTGGGGCGAGAGGTTAGATACGACAGCACGTGCAAGGGTATTTTCTCATTGTTGGGGCTGGAATGAATCACTGCTGCTCAAGTCAAAGGTTCTTAAATATTCTTAGTTTTTGCATTGTGCCCCCCTTCTCCTTCTACCTTTATTTATTTATGTATTTATTTATTTATTCATTTACTTATATATATATATATTTTGGCTCCATTCATCACCAACACAAAGCAAAGCAAAAAAATATATATATATGTGTGTATGTGTTGCAGGCAAAACACTGTGAAATTCACAACAGCAACCAAGCAACTCTTTTGCCATCTTTACATACGTCTCAGGAGACGAAACGAGAACACATGGGGATGTCATTTTTTTAGTCTATGCATTCTAGGCCAGGTCTGTGGTTTTCTTTTGTTTGGTTTTTTTTCTTCTTCTTCTTCTTTTTTCCTTTGGTCTGTGCATTAACAAAAATGATTCTGAGCGAAGGTTGGCTGAACGTTCAACATAATGGAGCAAGCGTAACAAAAGCTGCTAATAGCCACACGTTTGGACTGGAAAAGAAAAATCGGAGAAAATGAAACATGTAAAGACCTACATCTTGCAGCTTGTATATCTTACTATTGCTTTAATACTGTATAAAACAACTGGAAATGTTTTAAATACGAGGTCTTGGAATTAAATGTGGATTTGAAATATGTAATCCCTTGACAAATGACCAAATTCTTGTGAAATATTGCTCCCTGCATTCATTGGTTGTTACCCATCACTTATGAATCTGCCGAGAGATGTGGACACTCTCTACATCTGCTTCTGTAACAGAGAGATGTTTGTATATACCCAGGCCACACACACACACACACACACGCGCGCGCGCACCCACATTTCAATATCTCTCTGAAGATACATTGCCCCTTAAATTGTGACCTGGTATTTGGAACTCTCTTTTTATTTGCTTTATTTTCCTTTTAATGTGACGTCTCTGTGCTGATGCTTACCGGTTCTTGTTTTGCGATCTGTTTTTGAGGTCCATTGCTTTACTAAGACCCGCTGCAGCTTGGCTGATTTCAAAGCGACACCAGAATAACAGTGTTTGAAAAAAAAAAAAAAGTTTTGTTTGTAAATCATGTGACCAGCTTCTCTCAACCTGACATGGAAAGTCTCTTGTACTACAGTGTATTTAATAAAAATGATGTCTTACAATAAATAACATCCTCCAAAAGAGACACTGAAGGTTACATGACAATTCCTTGAAAAATGTAGAGCGTTTCACACGGCAT